GTCTATATATCCCTATATATCTATATCTACATATTTAAATATACACATATCTATATATCTATATATCTATATATCTGTATATCTATATATCTATATATCTATATATCTATATATCTCTCTCTGTATATATAGATATCTATACATCTATATATATATATCTATATTATCTATATTATCTATATATTTATATATCTATATATCTATATATCTATATATCTATATATCTATATATCTATATATCTATATCTATATATATATAAATCTATATATATCTATATCTATATATATATCTATATATCTATATATCTATTTCAATATCTCTATATATCTCTCTCTGTATATATAGATATCTATACATCTATATATATATATATCTATATTATCTATATATCTATATATCTATATATCTATATATCTATATATCTATATATCTATATATCTATATATCTATATATCTATATATCTATATATCTATATATCTATATATCTATATCTATATATATATATATCTATATATCTATATATCTATATATCTATATATCTATATATCTATATATCTATATATATATATATCTATATATCTATATATCCCAAAATAAACTGTAAATAATCATGTGCATGCATATGCGTCCACATAAGTATAGTTATTTGTATGTACATGTTACGTTGTATCCCTAAATAACCCCTAATCCAACCGTAAACAAACCCTAAACAGACCCTAAACCAGCCCTAAAGAAACCTTAAAACCAACCCTAAATAGACCTTAAACAAATCTAGAATAAACCATAAACCAACCCTAAATAAACCCTAAAACCAAACCCTGCAGATATATTAACTACACTTGTAAATACATTGCTCTACATATGCATACAGTCATGATTAGTCATGCATGTATACCTCTATACATCTACAGTTTGTAGTTTGCACATCATGTATCTGCAAAAATCAATGAACACTTCGGCAAAAAAAACAATGAAAACAATGTAAAAATCAATGAACACTTTGGAACAATGAATGAAAACCAGTAAAAAATGAATGAACACCATACAAAAATTGAAGAAAAACAGAAAATTCCATTGACAAATGGAAGAAAACCACGGAACAATCGAAGAAAACCATAGAGCAATTGAAGAAAACCATGGAAAAAATGAAGAATACAATGGAAAAATTGACGAATACTATGGAAAAATTAACGAAAACCATGGAAAAATCCATGAACATCTTGGAACATTCCATGAAAATCATGGAGAAATCAATGAAAACCATGGAAAACCCGATAAACACCATGGAAAATTCATGAAACCACTGGAAAAATTGACGAACAGTGCGAATGAGAGATTTTAGCTACAAAATGCAGCAAATGAGAGATTTTAGCTGCAAAAACCAAGGAAGGGAGCCTGGACGACCAAAAAAAAAAAAAATGCCAAAAAAAACAAAAAAATGCCAACTTAATTTCGCGCCCGTTGCAATACGTGTCACTTCTGCATGGACATCCGGTTACGGTTGTTTTCTTCACACTACATGGTACCACGTTCACTAGGTCAAAGGACAACAATGAATGTCAGTAGTTGAATTATTTTCAAGCTGCTTGCCCGTGTGACCAAACTAATTTTCAGATCGAACATATATTTAAATTCCGCATGCCTGCAGAAGGAAGAACACGTCTTGGTAAGAGAATCTTGCACAAACCGGCAAGACACATTCATGGATGTGATTGCAAGGTGGATTCGAGTAATCACTCTTGGAAAAGGTCGGCATTTTTTTTGACCCCATGGCCCATGGCATAGATTCAAGAACCAAAGAAAAGGAAGCAGGAAAAGAAACAGGAAAAAGAAGGAAACAAAGGAAGGAAGAACGAAGGAGAGAAGAAGAGAAAAAACATGAAATTATTGAACTTATGCAGGTTGAAATGAATCGAAACCTTTTCTACATGAATACAGCTAGGTTATTCAAAGTCTAAACTTGAAGCGAAGGGGTGTTTCGAACCCCTTCAAGGCCGGTATTGTTTATTCTGCATTCTTGATGTGATCAAAGATGTTGCCTTTGCTGTTTAGAAGGCAGTGATACGCAGTGAAATCATTGGGGTGAACAAAAAACGGGGTTAGACTAAACGCAACGTTAAACCTTGTGGTTGGAGGGTCAGGGGTTTCTAAGATTCTGGAATTCAGTAAGTGACCGCATGAACAAGACAGCGCGAAAAAGGCCACGGAAGCAAAACCTCTACAGTAGGCCCCGGAAAACCTCGACATTCAAGTTACCGTGGCCTTGGATTGTTCCAGCAGCTGCGGTCCACCACGCGGCCAATGCGTTTTTCTTTTGGGGTCCGAAGGTAAAAACATGCCAAAGGATACGTGTCAAATGCTTTCAAAGTGTAGGGTTCCGCAGCTCAATTGATTTCAATTTTTCGAGACAACTCTTTTTGGTAACCACTCATAGTCGTTTCGGCGTTTTTTTGGATCAAACGGTCAAAGTCGGCAGACAATCAATTAGAACTAACAGGCCCTGAAGCCAGGCCATGTGAGGCCCCACGGGAACAGCAAATTCAGTACAACGAAGGAAACAAAAGGCATAAAAACATCGTGTTTGAGGGGTTTTGGTTGACTATGTGCGCGCCTTACGAGAACTTGCGCATTTTTGTTTAAACATCCACATTTGGTGTTACAATTTATCCAGCTTACGGAGGAAAAAAAGAGGCAGTGAATCTTTTGAAACCATTTCCCCTGGTCAGTTTCAGCATCTATTTTGATGGTTCGGACACTTTTCGTGTCTTAGTGCGCCATGGGGCGGCTCGCAGATGTGGCATGGCCAGACGAAGAGGACGTCCCTCTAGTTTCGCACATAGCACGTCTTAGGTCAACACTCCCTATGCCACCATTGCCCTTTGTAGACCTATTGGTTGCTAGGAACTTCGATGGTGCCATCACTTCAAGGTTCGCAAATGGGGCGGTAGGGAACAGTTGGCCTGAAGCATGAACAAGTTCCCATATGCCATGATCAGGTCAGCCTCCAGAGCACAAGCAGACAAAGTTTCTGCCCTACGGATCTTGCAGAACCCAGCGACGCCCACCGGTTTGGCACTGAGATGATAGGGGTGAGGACTTCAATGCATCAGTGGTTGAACAGTTTTTGCGGAAACATCGGCAGACACACATTCACATGCACATGCATATGCATGCGCATGCACGTGCACGTGCACGTGCATGTGAACTCGAACTTGTTCATGTTTCTTTGAACTCTATCACTTTATTTTTTGTCGCTGAGGGCCGTTGGGTTTTGCATGTTTCGTTGTTCCTGTCCTATCCTTTCCTTCTATCTTTCCTTTTATTCCCAAACCGTTCACGAAAACTGCCGTAATCCATTTGTCCACATTCGTGAAAACTGTTGTGACTTCAGCCCTCGACTGAATAGACCCAAGATCAATTGTGTGTCGATTCATTTGTTCCCACCAAACGTAGGCAACGGTAACATAGTTTTGTCGATATTGGTTTCCCTGTTGGGTTTGAATTGGCCATAGAATTTTGACTGAATTGTCCTTAGGGTTAGTTCAGTCATGTTCAGAGTTGAGGCAGACAAGCTCAGATAGATTCAGATGATTTGTCTTGGAATCCTTTGGCCAACTTGGAAAAGTTTTCAGCAGTTTGCAACACCCCGACATGTTTTTCGGTATGCCGAACGTGCATAATATGTACGTTTTTGCATGTTTTTGCCATTATGTAGCAGTTTTTCTGAAATGGGCGCTTTTCATTTTGTACACTTTGTCGTGTAGCGATGGCAGGATTGGTACATTTTACAAGTTCATAGGTTTCATGAGCGATTGGTACATTTCACGAGCGATGTTTATGAGTTGTCCATGTCCTGAGCTGAGCAAACAAACTGCACGACCTCACACATTTGATGAGCTAGTTGATATAGTTGATATTTTGAGCTGATACATCTTCATGAGCTCGCGGATTTTATGAATTTATGAACTGGTCGTGCAATTCACGCGCAAACATGCCACTACGAAAATGGATCGTACATTCCAAGAACGCAAAAAACATGAAAAGGCAGCAAACAACAATTTCATTATCATTACACTTTTGTGACACATAGTTCGCAAACATATTCTCATGACCAACAGGTTGATGTTCATACTGTCCACAAGCAACAAACAAAACAAATAGTTATGAAGCGTTGTATCAACATGCACTTGAGGAGCCACATGTGGCGGCAAAATGTTTCATAATTTTCACACTGGCAATGTTGAATGTAATGTTGCAGCAAAAAATGACAATCTACACATCTTGAGCCAAAGAAACGAAAAATTGCACTCAATGTGGACAATTACGATTGATGACCATACATGCCATGATGAAGTACTGCTAATGATTCAGCGTGCATTTCATGACCCCGACGCATTTATTGAGAAGCTGTTCCATGATCATTCACTGCCAGCAGTCAAGGACTTGTGTGTGTGTGAGATCGGCTAGCGGTTTTCTGCGCTATTTGTCTTCCATTGTGGAAGATCCTTTTTTGATCTGGGCAAAGTGTGAAAGGAACGAAAGCGCCTCTAGTTTGCAGGACATGGCAAAGAAAATCTGCCCCCATACGAAGATTCAGATTATGTCAGCCCTATGTGATAACCCCCGGATTCTTTCCCTGCCGTCACCATGCCATGTCCAAGACCATTCGCACAGTGGGATCGTAGGTGGCATGGGATCGCACCACGTCCGGTACATGAAGGCCCTGTTGGCATGTGATGTTTTGACGTTTTCGTTTTGTGAACATCACAGGGCGGCAAATCCAGGTGGCAGAAATGGTTGCGTGTTGCGTGTTTGACTTCCGCTGAGATATTGTCAAGTTTTGTCCGGCAAAGTCCGGGGTGCCGGTTTGGAGCATTTTGAGTTTGCGGGATGAGAATTTCTGTAATGCAGGGTGTCACTGCCAGTGTTTTATTTTCATGTACCTTCTGCATCCGAATCCGACACCTAATTCGATCTGCCTAGAGCCTAGCTGACGCCATGTCAACCAGACGAGTTCACCTTGCTACTGGACCTGTCGACATCGTTGTGGACAATTCCACAGCAGGAGAACCGGTTGCGGCAACATTTTGGCACAGCTTTTTGAAATTGTGGTGCAGATGGTGAATGGTCTAAACCGGAGGGAGCAAAACAAATCAAACTGTGGATGGAAATACTGAACTGGGCGTTTTTCGACATTGAGAGATGATTATATAATATAGATATATACTTTGCACCTTCGTTCATATTCCTAGTTCCACTTGTCCATTTCCTTTAGTTTGCGGAAGCGAGGAGATGTCATCGCAACTGTCCAAAGTACTTTGCCAGATCAGCCGTGGCATGGCAAGACATTGCTCTCCAGCGGCCCCCGCCGCTTTGACCATTCCGACCATGTCGACGATGCGGAGAATTCAGGTGGTTGCGGAAGTTGCGGAAGTTGCGACCTGGTTCTGGCCAATTTCTCGGTATTGGCGCCACCTCGGCGACATGGTTCGCACATTGCCACTGAAAAAAGTGGCATCACCATCCCACAGATACAGCAGCTGTTGGATTTCGTTTTCACCATGGTCAACATGGTGGGGGCATGCGGCCGTTGGGCTGAAACCTTCGGTGATGAACGTGGCAGGCCTTTGAGCTTTGAGGCTTTTAACCTTTATCATGCGAACGATTGGATTATTGGACCTGCTACCGCTGCCACTGATGCACATGAAGCGTGCAGTTACGTTGAGTTGCTTGGCTTGAGGAACAATGCTTCACAAGGCCTCCTTTTTCCCGAATGCGTAGCGAAGGGTTCCCGTTTATAGTCTGGGGGTCTGGGGGCTGGACCCTTGTTCGCCTCGAGTGGCTCGTCGCGTCGTCTTCGCGTCGTCTTCGCGTCGTCGTTGCGTCGTCGTCGCGTCGTTAATTCCGTGTCTACGGGGGAAGCTGCAAAACCTCTCCTTTTCGAAGGTTTCCAAGCGGGTTGTCATGTCGTTTTGCGTGGCAGGCGTGGCACTTTGTGACATTCCAACCTGTTTGATAACGTGCCAAAAGTGTCAAAATTGGAGGACGTCTCGCACGAAATGCTGGTTTTGCTGCGCCCACGTGTCTCGTCTCGGGTCTTTGGTTTTTCTTGTGCAAGCTTTGTGGTACACAGTAGTACTGAAAGTGCTTTGTGCAAGCTTTGTAGTACAAAGTAGTACTGGGAAGTGCTTTGTGCAAGCTTTGTAGTATACAGTAGTACTGGGAAGTAGTTTGTGCAAGCTTTGTAGCACAAAGTAGTACTTGGAAGTGCTTTGTGCAAGCTGTGTAGTGCAAGGTAGTACTGGGAAGGACTTGGTGCAAGCTTTGTAGTACACAGTAGTACTGGGAAGTCGCTTTGTGCAAGCTTTGTAGTGCAAGGTAGTACTGGGAAGGACTTGGTGCAAGCTTTGTAGTACACAGAAGTACTGGGAAGTCCTTTGTGCAAGCTTTGTAGTATACAGTAGTACCGGGAAGTAGTTTGTGCAAGCTTTAAATTGTAGTACAAAGTAGTACTTGGAAGTGCTTTGTGCAAGCTGTGTAGTACAAGGTAGTACTGGGAAGGACTTTGTGCAAGCTTTGTAGTACAAAGTAGTACTGGGAAGTGCTTTGTGCAAGCTTTGTAGTACACAGTAGTACTGGGAAGGACTTGGTGCAAGCTTTGTAGTACACAGTAGTACTGGGAAGTAGTTGTGCAAGCTTTGTAGTTCAAGGTAGTACAGGGAAGTGCTTTGTGCAAGCTTTGTAGTACAAAGTAGTACTGGGAAGTAGCTTTGTGCAAGCTTTGTAGTACACAGTAGTACTGGGAAGTCATTTTGTGCAAGCTTTGTAGTAGAAAGTATTACTGGGAAGTAGTTTGTGCAAGCTTTGTAGTACACAGTAGTACTGGGAAGTGCTTTTTACAAGCTTTGTAGTACACAGTAGTACTGGGAAGTGCTTTGTGCAAACTTTGTAGTACAAGGTAGTATTGGGAAGTGCTTTGTGCAAGCTGTGTGGTACAAAATTGTACTGGGAAGTAGTTTGTGCAAGCTTTGTAGTGCAACGCAGTACTGGGAAGTAGTTTGTGCAAGCTTTGTAGTACAACGCCGTACTGGGAGGTGCTTTGTGCAAGCTTTGTAGTACAAGGTGGTGCTTTGCGCAAGCTTTGTAGTACAAAGTAGTACTGGGAAGTGCCTTGTGCAAGCTTTGTAGTATACAGTAGTACTGGGAAGTGCCTTGTGCAAGCTTTGTAGTATACACTAGTACTGGGAAGTAGTTTGTGCAAGCTTTGTAGTACAAAGTAGTACTTGGAAGTGCTTTGTGCAAGCTGTGTAGTACAAGGTAGTGCTGGGAAGAACTTGCAAGCTTTGTAGTAGAAAGTAGTACTGGGAAGTGCTTTGTGCAAGCTTTGTAATACAAAGTCCTTAGTCCTTTTGTGCAAGCTTTGTAGTACAAGGCAGTATTGGGAAGTGCTTGATTTGTTCAAGCTTTGCAGTGCAAAGTAGTACTGGGAAGTAGCTTTGTGCAAGCTTTGTAGTATACAGTAGTACTGGGAGGTAGTTTGTGCAAGCTTTGTAGTACAAAGTAGTACTTGGAAGTGCTTTGTGCAAGCTGTGTAGTACAAGGTAGTACTGGGAAGGACTCGGTGCAAGCTTTGTAGTACACAGTAGTACTGGGAAGTCGCTTTGTGCAAGCTTTATAGTAGAAAGTATTACTGGGAAGTACTTTGTGCAAGCTTTGTAGTCCACAGTAGTACTGGGAAGTCCTTTGTGAAAGCTTTGTAGTACACAGGAACTGGGAAGTGCTTTGTGCAAGCTTTGTAGTACAAGGTGGTATTGGGAAGTGCTTTGTGCAAGCTTTGTAGTACAAGGTAGTATTGGGAAGGACTTTGTGCAAGCTTTGTAGTTTAAAGTAGTACTGGGAAGTGCTTTGTGCAAGCTTTGTAGTACACAGTAGTACTGGGAAGGACTTCGTGCAAGCTTTGTAGTACACAGTAGTACTGGGAAGTAGTTGTGCAAGCTTTGTAGTACAAGGTAGTATTGTGAAGTCCTTTGTGCAATCTTTGTAGTACAAAGTAGTACTGGGAAGTAGCTTTGTGCAGGCTTTGTAGTACACAGTAGTACTGGGAAGTCGCTTTGTGCAAGCTTTGTAGTACACAGTAATACTGGGAAGTCGCTTTGTGCAAGCTTTGTAGTATACAATATTACTGGGAAGTGCTTTGCGCAAGCTTTGTAGTACAAAGTAGTACTGGGAAGTGCTTTGCGCAAGCTTTGTAGTACAAAGTAGTACTGGGAAGTGCCTTGTGCAAGCTTTGTAGTATACAGTAGTACTGAGAAGTCCTTTGTGCAAGCTTTGTAGTGCAACGCAGTACTGGGAAGTAGTTTGTGCAAGCTTTGTAGTACAACGTCGTACTGGGAGGTGCTTTGTGCAAGCTTTGTAGTTCAAGGTAGTACAGGGAAGTGCTTTGTGCAAGCTTTGTAGTACAAAGTAGTACTGGGAAGTGCCTTGTGCAAGCTTTGTAGTATATACAGTAGTACTGAGAAGTCCTTTGTGCAAGCTTTGTAGTACAAAGTAGTACTGGGAAGGGCTTTGCGCAAGCTTTGTAGTACAAGGTAGTACTGGGAAGGACTTTGTGCAAGCTTTGTACAAAGTAGTACTGGGATGTCTTACACTTTACACTCCACACTCCACACTCTATACTTTACACACTCTATGTTTCCCACTCCACACTTTACACTCCACACTCCTTACTTAAGACTCCACACTCCACACTCTACACTTTCCATTCCACACTCCTCCACACTTTCCACTCCACACTGCAGACTGGTAACAGGGGAAATATGTATTGTCTTCAAGCGATGTTTTCTATCCGTGTCTTTGTGCATTAGTTGTCTCTTGTGAACTGTTGATCAGGTGCCTTCGCTGAGACGATATGCGCACACGATGCATGAAAAAAAGGTTTGTTTTCCTATTGCAGAGGTTTTCACTCGTAGTCCAAGAACGTGAATACAGTCGGGTTCGTGGCTTCCATCTTCTTTTGAAAGCAAGTGTGCTACGCGAAAAGACATGTATTCGAACATCAGATGGTGCTTGTGGCTTCAAATGGTTCAAACTCTTCATTTTGGGCGTGTCCAAAATTGGGATACGTAGATGAACGGCACATTAAACAGGAAAGTGATGATCAAGCAATGTAAAATATATTTAGATAGGGAAACCTCGTTTTTTTCGAGCAAACAGTGCTTTGACAAATCCTGAGGCTTGTGGCAGATAATCCTGAGGCTCAGATTCCTTTGTGGTTTGTCTCACATGCATGGCTTGAACCCATACACCTTTTTCTCACGTGCCTCCGCCGCCACTCAACCCTTCGAGAACTCCGTGTTCCAGCATACTGGGTATGTGCCTACGCGAACAACCAGCATGCCTTGGAGGAAGCAATTTCCAACAACCCGCGCAAAACTTCATTTTACAAAGCAATGAGGCTATGCCGTGGGGTGTTGCTGGTTCTGGACACACAGGCGACACCATTTACCCCGGGAGGGGGGCGCAGCTATGACCTGGCATGGCTGCGCGGGAATTAACCCGATATCCGGTTGCACGACTCCGGATGATAAATACCTCCCTGGTCGGGGGGTGCTTTAGCCACCCCCCCGACGATGTCAAGGCGCTCAGCGCGAACCTGGAACCTCCAGGCCTGTGATGTTTACTTTGGCGCCTCGCCAAAGATGATGTGATCCAGGATATTGCAGACGAGGGCTGCTACAGTTTTGGTTGGCGGCTGCTGCAGACGTGGCAGTCGCAACTCGCCATACGGCGGGAGTTTTGTGGAGCTGAGCGCTTGGCCCAGCTTGTGGCAGGTGAGCTCGGTTCTTGCTATTGGATGATGAGGTGCTTCCATGGCATGGCACGCTGCGTGCACTTGACGGCTGCTCTTCTTCAGGCCGTCTACCGCAGCTGCCTCTTTGCCTCGGTTGAGCACATCTTTCACTGGCTACCAGTGGTTCACTTCAATGCGTGATGGGCGAGGGCCCGTCACCGAATTGAGTGCAGATGGTGCTAGACCATCCGTTAATGTACCCACGCCTTGAAGAGAGGCAACTTCTGCTGTGGCGGAAGTATGGTTTGGCGAGCATGTGGTCACCACATCGTTCTCTACGATTGGCTGGCGACTCTTGAGGCAGCATTTTGCTGCCAAGGTTTTTGTCTTCCACCCACGCTGGAAGTTGTATTGTACAGGATTGCGAGCTTTGTCTCAAGCTACCCTCCAGGAGTGGGGGTGGCCCCCAGCGCCTATGGCGCCCGAAAGCTGCCTCCAGCCACTCACCTCGGTGGGCCCAGGCTGTGGCAGCGTTACAATTGCCCAACAACAACAACAACAACGGCTTACAACAACAACAACAACAACAACAACAACAACAACGGCGACACCATTTACGAGGATTTGGTGTTGCTTTGAGGAATCGATTGCAGCCTGGCGCTCAGTTTGTCTCATTGAGCATATTGAGCTGTGAGTTCTTCAATTGTGAAATTCTTAGAACTTCCCAAAAATTTCAGGTCTCAATCTTCAAATGTTATGGCTAAATGTGACATGAGGTGGAGGAACGGGACACCAACTCTTTGCTACTTGATGTTGCTGCCACAGATCTTTGCCATGTTGCCCATGTCATCACTGATGGCTTAGTCGGTGCTGAGACCCGGGTTCTCCCCATCTTGGGTTTGCTCTGCAAGTCACGCCGTGAGCAATCCTTTCCAATGGATTTGCTTCAGAAAGGTCTCAGCGTTGACATTGCTGCAGCACAAGCGTCCAAAGAAGAGGACAAGACACGGATTTTGAACTCCGTGCGATGTCCGCGAGCCAGGACATGGGCATTGGACACGCCTTTTCCAACACAGCACCCCCGCTATGATGCCGTCAACAGAGCTTTAGCCTCCCACTTTGCACTGACCAGCATCCAGCAGTCATATCGTAATGGACAAGCGCAAGCCCCATCAAGCCTGTGGCAAGCACTACGGTCAGATGCAGAAAGAAAGAACATCCAAGTGTCACTGACAGGCTGCCACAGTTTCCGAGACCCGGACTTGCGTATTCTCATGGATAACCTGCCATCCCAACTGCAAAGTCTACGGCTCGATCTTGCCTACACTGGTTTGGAGCGTTTGGATGATCTAGCGGGTGCTTCCGGTGCTTCCTTCGGAAATGCCCTTCAGACCCGAGTGATTCGCTTCGCAGGATCTTTAAGAAGCATTTCTGGCTTGTCTGCTTTGCTTTGCCCTTCCTTGAGACGTTTGGAGCTGTGGCTGTCAGACCTTCCAGACTTAGAAGACATCGAGTTGGGCGTCAGCAACAAGGCATTGTTGAAGCTTCGTTTGGAGGAGCTTGCAGGGTAGGTTGAGGCTTGTTTTCTCACCATGTGACTACTGCACATCCCCCCAATTTTTTCTGTGGAATTTCGAGAGCTGTTTGCTTTTGGAGATTGAAATTTGAAGGAGCTGGTCTTGTATGTGAATGGCTGTCCCAGCGTACCGCGCGAATCCAAGACAGCATTGAAGCTTGGTGTGGTTTAGCTTTACCCAAAGACGTTTATGATAATGTGGAAATAATGATATTCGAAAAAATTGGAGATGACCCCATGAGAAGTTGTCATTGTTCCACATTGTTCCTATGAACGTGACAGAAAACATGTCATTCAAAATGCGATTGGCTTCAATGAATTGAAATGACAAACCGAATTTACTCAAGGTTTGCTGCCACTCGGCAGCTGAAGCAGTGCCTTCGACGCCGGCCTTACATGTGGGTTCACATCGAGGACGGTTTCAGACATGGTTTCTGTACAGTTCGATTCAATCTGGTTCAAAACACCAGCAGGTTGAAGCATGGTGTGCCCAGAAATGGCAGATGCAATGGTATGGCACTTTTAGCAACATAAGAATCTTCCATTCAATGCCAGCCTGGCGCAAAAAGTTGCAACTTGCAATACGACTTGTGCCGCACCTTGTGCCGACTCCCAGGATACAAACACCTGGACGCTGAATCTCTGCCTTGTGAAGCTCAAGGCATGGAACACAGTCAAGCCACGTTGCACCGGCTCGTAACGCAAGCTGCAACGTAATGTGCAACGTAATGTGCCATGTAATTGCCACGTTGATGGTAATGTGGTTGTTTAAATTACGAAAGCCAGCTGGGAAGCTGGCTAGTTGTTATTCGCGAACGAAGTGAGGTCGGGGGAGGTAGTTGCCTCAAGTTGCAGAAAACGTCGTAAACAGGTGGTGTTTTAGGCGTGCGAAAGTTATGGTTTTGCAGGGTAACGTACCATGCGGCAAAACAGTGACGGTGGGTATCGATTCCCCCTATAGGTCCGGTTGTTTTCTACGTCCATGGGTCAAAAGTATGTAGGTGAAAACACTCAGGGTGCAAAGTCTGAGGTCGAGGGTTCGCTTGGAGCGCCGAAAAGTGGATCGCTTAGAGCGCCAGAAAGTGGATCGCTTGGAACGCCGAAAAGTGACATAAGAGATACATAGCGCTAGAGTTCCATATACTGTATGCGCAGAGGCATATAGACACATAAATGGATGCATTCATATGTCGCTGAAGCACGCGATAACATTCGATGCGATCCGCTTTTCGGCATTACCTGACGAAGAAACGTATCAGGAACGTCTTGCAAGTTACTTGACGAAGATGTTACAACGTATCAGGAACAGCTGGCACGTTACTTGAAGAAGAGTTTTCAACGTATCAGGAACGCCTGGCAAGTTACTTGAAGAAGATGTTCCAGCGTATCAGGAACATCTGGCAAGTTACTTGAAGAAGATGTTACGACGTATCAGGAACATCTTGCAAGTTACTTGATGAAGAGTTTACAACGTATCAGGAACATCTTGCAAGTTACTTGAAGAAGATGTTACAACGTAGCAGGCACGTCTTGCATGTTACTTGAAGAAGATATGGCAACGTATCAGGAACGTCTTGCAAGTTACTTCAAGAAGATGTTACAACGTATCAGGAACGTCTTGCAAGTCACTTGACGAAGATGTTACGACGTAGCAGGAACGTCTTGCCTGTGTGTGCACAGGAGCATGAACGTTATTACCCCACCCCACCCTACCCCACCGGTAACTGATCATGACAGAACAGTGCAGTGCCTGTGTCTGCAGGACAGCAAGAAAGATGATGAGGTTGCTGTGCCTGTGTGTGCACAGGAACATGAACGTTATTACCCCACCCCATCCCACCCCACCCCACCCCACCGGTAACTGATCATGAAAGAACAGTGCAGTGCCTGTGTCTGCAGGACAGCAAGCAAGATGATGAGGTTTCTGTGCCTGTGTGTGCGCAGGAACATGAACGTTATTACCCCACCCCACCCCGCCCCACAAGAGCAGTGCAGTGCCTGTGTCTGCAGGACAGCAAGAGAGATGATGAGGTTGCTGTGCCTGACCCCATGTCCCAGCCCCGTGTCCGCAAGTTTTGCCCTAAAGGTATCATTCTCTGGTGCTCTAAGTGATCCACTTTTTTGGTGCTCTAAGTGATCCCATGGTGCTCTAAGCGATCCGGTGCTCCAAGTGATCCACTTTCCGGTGCTCTAAGTGATCCCTTAACCAAAGTCTGAGGGTGCAAAGTCTGTGGGTGAAAAGTCTGTGGGTGAAAAGTGTATGGGCGAAAGTCTGCCGGTGAAAGGTCCGTGGGTGAAAAGTCTGTGGGTGAAAAGCCCGTGGGTCAAAAGTATATAGGTGAAACGGGTATGGGTGAGAAGTCTGAGGGTGCAAAGTCTGTGGGTGAAAAGAGTGTGGCTTAAAAAAATGTGGGCGAAACATGTATTTAATTGCCTGCGGCAAGCCCGCCGGCCATAGCCATTTGGTGCATAGAGACATTTTATATGAGCCTTCGGCGTAGTCGCAGACCGTGGCCTGGACAAAAAAAAGGCCAGTTTGTGTGTGTGTGTGTAAAAGCATCTGTGCGTCAAAGCTGCGGTGTGTAAACGCTTCTGTGTGTACAAGCATCTGTGCGTCAAAGCTGCGGTGTGTAAAAGCTTCTGTGTGTAAAAGCATCTGTGCGTCAAAGCTGCAGTGTGTAAAAGCTTTTGTGTGTAAAAGCATCCGTGCGTCAAAGCTGCGGTGTGTAAAAGCTTCTGTGTGTAAAAGCATCTGTGCGTCAAAGCTGCGGTGTGTAAAAGCTTCTGTGTGTAAAAGCTTCTGTGTGTAAAAGCATCTGTGCGTAAAAGCTTCAAAGCTTCTGTGTGTAAAATCGTCTGTGTGTAAAAGGTGTGTTCTTCGTGTGTAAAAGCTTCTGTTTAAAAGCGTGTGTGTAAAAGCCTCTGTGTGTAAAAGTGCTGTGTGTAAAAGCAAAAGCTGCGGTGTGTAAAAGCTCTGTGTGTGTGTGTAAAAGCTTCTGTGTGTAAAAGCTGTGTGTAAAAGTTTCTGTGTGAAAAGCTTCTGTGTGTAAAAGCTTCTGTGTGTAAAAGCTGTGAGTAAAAGCTTCTGTGTGTAAAAGCTTCTGTGTGTAAAAGCCTCTGTGTGTAAAAGGTTCTGTGTGTAAAAGCTTCTGTGTGTAAAAGCGCCTGTGTGCAAAAGCGCCTGTGTGTAAAAGTGTCTGCGTGTAAAAGTTTTGTGTGTAAATGCGTTTGTGTGTCAAAGGTTCTGTGTGTAAGAGCCTCTGTGTGTAAAAGCTGCTGTGAAAAACTCTGCCTGTAATGTGTGTCAAAGGTTCTGTGTGTAAAAGCTTCTGTGTGTAAAAGCTTTTGTGTGTAAAAGCCTCTGTGTGTAAAAGGTGCTGTGTGTAAAAGCTTCTGTGTGTAAAAGCTTCTGTGTGTAAAAGCATCTGTGTGTAAAAGCTGCGGTGTGTAAAAGCTTCTGTGTGTAAGAGCATCTGTGCGTCAAAGCTTCTGTGTGTAAAAGCCTCTGTGTGTAAAAGCGTCTGTGTTTAAAAGCGTCTGGGTGTAAAAGGTTCGGTGTGTAAAAGTGTCTGTGTGTAAAAGCCTCTGTGTGTAAAGCCTCTGTGTGTAAAAGCTTCCTCTTTGGAAAAGCTTCTGTGTAAAAGCTTCTGCGTGTAAAAGCTGTTGTGTGTCAAAGGTTCTGTGTGTCAAAGGTTCTGTGTGTAAAAGCGTCTATGTGTAAAAGCTGCTGCGTGTAAAAGCTGTTGTGTGTGTAAAAGCTTTTGTGTGTAAAAGCTTCTGTGTGGAAAAGCTTCTGTGTGTAAAAGCTTCTGCGTCTAAAAGCTGTTGTGTGTCAAAGGTTCTGTGTGTCAAAGGTTCTGTGTGTAAAAGCTTCTATGTGTAAAAGCTGCTGCGTGTAAAAGCTGTTGTGTGTGTAAAAGCTTTTGTGTGTAAAAGCTTCTGTGTGTAAAAGCTTGTGGGTGGAAAAAGCACTAGAAATGCGTCACTCTGCTTGGGGAGAGCTTTTTGGACGGAAGCCGGGAACGCCTCTGTGTGTAAAAGCTTCTGTGTGTAAAAGCCTCTGTGTGCAAAAGCTTCTGTGTGTAAAAGCGTCTGTGTGTAAACGCGTCTGTGAGTAAAAGCTTTGGTGTGTAAATGCTTCCGTGTGTAAAAGCTTCTGTGTGTAAACTTCTGACGAGTCGAAGTCGGAGTAGGCATCGGAGGATGCGTAGGAGTGGGAGTAGGAATGGGAGTAGGAGTGGTAGTAGTACGAGTGGCAGTAGTGGCAGTAGTAGTGGTGGATGGTGCTGGTGGTGGTGGTGGTCGTAGTAGTAGTACTACTAGTAGTACTAGTACTAGTACTAGTAGTAGTAGTAGTAGTAGCAGTAGTAGTAGTAGTAGGGGGGAGGGGGGGGGTGACTTTGATTCAGACGAAGCAAAAACGCGCGGGAAGAGAAGAAAGGAACAAGTACAAACCAAGAACAGAAACAAGTGCAAAACAAGAACAGAAACAAGAAAAACACCTCACAATCAGACACGCCGGCAGGCCGGCGGATTGGTGAAAGTCCCTGGGTGAAAAGTATATGGGTGAAAAAAATCTGATGGTAAAAAGAACGTATATTGGTCAAGAGTCTCTGGGTGAAAAGTTTGAAAAGCCTGCGGAAGAAGAGTTTCGGGGTGAAAAGTGTATAAACCTAAATATGTGGGCGAAAAGTATGTGGGTGAAAATATATGGGTGAAAGTCTGTGGGTGAAAAGTATGTGGATGAAAAACCCGTGGGTGAAAAGTCTCTGGGTGAAAAGTCTGTGCAAGAAGAGTTTCTGGGTGAAGAGTCTCTGGGTGAAAAGTATACGGGTGAGAAGTATACGGGTGAAAGACTCTGGGTGAAAAGTCCGTGGGTGAAAAGTATATGGGTGACAAGTCTGTGGGTGAAAAATCTTTGGGGGAAAATAGGGGTAGATGGGATGCTGGTTTTCGTTCCCCCCTTCTCATGTTCGTGCCACGTAATGTAATGGAACCATTTTCATAATTGTTTCGTTCGTTCCAACGGCATATTTCGAAGGCTCCGTTGATGATTTGGACTCATTTGGTAGCTGTTGATCGATGCAATGTTCATTTTGATTTGCACAGGTGGGTCGTTCACAAAGCCACCTTGAGATAGGCGAGCGCCGTTTACAAGTCAGACTTGCAACCTTCGAACCAAACAGAAATTCGACAGGTATCGTACAGGTAGAGGTTGCACATTTAGCTTTCATAGGTACACTTGTTGAGTTACTCCAGTCTAGCGGTGCATGGTTGTCTTAGCGTCATCAACAAAATTGCCAGATTCATTGCGTCAGTGACCACATGTAGAAATATGTAGACATGAACTGCGGACAGTTCGCTGCAAGAGGTTCACTCAATTCACCCACGCCTCCTGCAAGCGCAGCTTCGCTGGCCGAGATTCCAGAGTCACAAATCGAACCTCGACCCAAGGAACCCCTGGAATGCATAGCTCCAAGTTTGCATGGCTCCCTGACACCCTGAGTTCAATGGAGTATTTGCAGGCAAAATGTCTTTGGATGTCTTTGGCCAAACATGGTTGTACATGGTTGTACCAGTTGTACCATGTTTTCTCATAAATTTTCCTCTGTGAACTAAAGGCAGGCTATCGAAGGTTCTTCCCGAATGCGTAGCAAGTGTTCCCATTTCACTCTGGGGATTTGGGGGTTGAGGGTGTGTTCGCCAGACGTTGTGCAACCGTTCGCAACCGGGCTGCATCTATTTTTTTTCCCGGCCTCCCCTGCTTCAGGATCCGTTCCCGTGCCATTGCTGCGCGAAGTTCCACGGAAATTCTCATGGATACTGCAATGCTCATCGACTTGCCCGATTTTACCACAATGCGTTCTCCAGATGTCATCTCGTGCCATGGATACAGACAGATTTGCTGTCATGGTTTGCATATGTCGTGATGCAAAATTCAAGTTTTCAAAAAGAGCTGGGAATAGAAAGTATGTAACCACTGGACCACATGTCTGCAACATGCTCTGCAACATTGTTGAAGTTGTGACCCATAGGCCCATAGGCTCAAATCAACCCCAGCCAAACAGCTCCGACTCTGCTGGCATTGCGCTCTGAGGTTTTTCAATATGCAGAGCTGCTGATGATTTTCTTTGTACAAGCCACGGCTGATATCGAATCGAGGGGCTTGCTGGCCTTGATTGTCATCTCTTTGCAGCTCGCACTTGAATCACCATGCTGTGCCAATGGCCGGTCACATTTCATTACCACTATATTTTATGTTGTAACACGTTTTCACATGGTGCTGCACATGACCATAGCTGATAGCCGTAGGTATCCTGTGCTCTGGATGAGCCTTGATCGATTGGTGGGAGGGTCGGCCACCTCAATTTGTATCGTGTTGATCTCGCTGCTCTTCGCATCTGTATCTTATGCACTGCTGCGATTCGATCAGATGCACCGAGCGACTCTGGAACTGTCGTTGGCTTCTGAAGCCATTTGCTCACAGGCACCCCATCAAAGCCAAATATGGCAAACATGTGAAATAGATGGAAATAGGGGGTACCGGAAAACCATGGAAAACCATCCAGAAATCGGCTGTTTCCGCTTACCCATTGCCAGATTACCAGAGGGATCCAGAGGGTACTGCAGTGCATCGGACAAACTTTTCTAGCAACGCATAGAGTAACTCTTTGTCCGAAAATTTCGTTTATAGTTTCAAATTATCCAAATCATGCACTCAATCCATAGTTTTACAGTTTTTCTGTGTCCGAAATTTGGAAAAACAGAGCCCTGGAGGCGATTCGTCCTGCGAACTTGTCGCACCTCTCTCTGGTCTTTGGAAGTTCCGCTGATGACTTCCCGAACACAGGTTTGCGACAAAGCGAAACGGATTTGACGCTGTGAAAAAATATTTCAAAATGGTTTCAACATATTTCACGCATTTCAATTTTTCTCATTTTGTATTTGATTGTTTTCGCAAAGAAAGTGCATGTCGAGCTGATAGCGGTCGTGTAGGTCTTGGCAAGCGACCCCATGCATGAGCCAAGGACAAGCAACTTCCGTCAGGCACGGATTCACTTTCTGAGCTTTCAGACGCTAGGAGAAGTTTGGACCATTCAGAATCGGTTCTTTCCAGTCTTTGCAGCCTCAAAAATACACATCCGCAGCACGACAGTGACTATCGGTCACTATCTGTCTTCTCTTTGACCCATTGCAGTCGCAAATTGCAGTGACAAGAATAATCGGTGCATAATCAGTGCATAATCAGTGCCCCATCTGTAGGCAGTGGACATAATCACTCATCAGATCCAGTCCCCTTGAGTATGCAGATCCATCGCTTTTCATAGCAGGTGTTGTAGCTCGGGATTGCCTCAGGAATGCTCTGCGCCAAGCCCTGGGCGAAGGTGAAGTGACGAATGCTACAGCAAATGCAAAGATCAAGCGCCTCGCCGACCTTGAAACGAGTCAAGGATCTCGCCACGGCCACGAGTCAAAAGCCTTGAAGTCAAGTTGTGTTCAAGTTTTGTTCAGATCTGTTCAGAGTTGCTCTGTGATTTGGACATGCTCCATTCACATTTCCAGGAGCAGACCATGATGTTCTTTCTTGCGAAATCCATTGTGAATCCCTCCAGCAAGTTCAACTGGTGTGGCTTGCGCTAAGCAAAAGATTTCAACGGGAAGAAGAACCGTGGAAGATCGTGGCATTGTGGGATGGATTTGCCCAAGAAGAGGAGCGGAGATGCAGCAAGATCGTGATGTCCATGAACGGCCAGCTGGCATATCTTGGCATGTCATTCACGGCATTTGATACATTTGCAGGCCATTCAAAGCAGGACCGTTTCCCTTTATTCTTAAGTGGATAAAATATGCTGAAACTGATGGTACATGTGTTGATATGTGTTGATTCATTTCCAACCTAACTTGCTCTAGCTTACACATTTAGTATACATCTAGTAATCGTTGCTGAAGCGTTGCGAAGCTCAGGTTATTTGGCCACTGTCGTTCTTTGTGTTGCCTCCTTAACAAGGCTGCAGGGCAACCTCAGTGAACTTTGCCTTTTGGCCGATGCTTTTGGCCTCTTGGAGGATGCAAAGCCTCGAAGGTGGCTGCAACGTGACGGTCCAAATGCAAAGGGCTCAAGTTCTGGAGAGAGAGCGAGTTTGCCTCGCGGCTCACAGATTTTGGATGCTCTTCTTCTGGTGCTTCTGTCACTGGCTCGTTTCATTGCTATGATCACGGCAGCTTATTTCACGTGTCAATACTTCTTTCGCTACGGCCCTTCCAGCTTGCACGAAAGCATAGATCAACTGGGACAGCATCGCTTTGTCAAAGTCGCCTTTGGAGAACGCTTTGACGGCTCATGGTGGGATGCCTTGTGCTTATCAGGGCCTTATGCAGTTCTTGTAGTGGTTTTCGCACGCGATTTGCTTTGCTTTTCTGCTCCGACAGCTCAAAAACGGAAGAGCAGACAGCTGTCACAAATTGTCTATGACCGCTATTTTGGAGTTGAAGGCACCTACTACATGTTCAAAGTGGCTTTGCTACAGCTCCTGACCATTTTGCTTCAGGCGTTTGGGAAGCTTCATTTGCTCGGTGGCATTGCACTCTTTGCAGAACAACAAAGGCTCTCAGTTGCAGAATCTTTGAAGGCAGGGAGTTGGATGAATATGCAACAAACGCATGGTTAAACGATGTTAAACGCTTAATCAGGTGGATGGCTTAGCCCTGAAGGTAACATTCTGGTTGTTTTGGGCGCTACTATTTTGCAACAGCGTCTACCCCAACATGCTCTTCATTTTCCCGGAGAGTATGCGGTGTCGCTACACCTGTGCGATGCTGGACGTTTTCTTTGATCTAGGATATGTTTTGACCTACTTGGTGATGGTTGTGATCGGGGCGACCGAGTTGCACGTGAACGTGTCTGTTTGGGGTAATTTTGGAGAGCGCTCGCAGCTGGGCTTTAGCAACAGCACCTTGCCATGCATTTGGTGCTGCGATCAGGTCCTTCTGGTGGCTGGTCATGGTTTAGGGTTTTGTGGCAAAACGTTTCATGACTTGGATTGTCTCAGATTGCATCAGGCATAAGTCCCAAGTTCGCTTTCCCTTCAGAGTTCCTCCAATACATGGCAGTCTATGTGAGCATTGCTCACGTGTGCTGCGCTTGTCGTGCTGTTCAGAGAGGGCAAACGCCTGAGTTGGAAGCCGCGAGAGATGCGCGCCCGAAGGTTGTCTGGGCCCATGTGAGATGTCAAACATGGGTGAGACGCTTCCTGAAGTACATCTACTCACCATGTTTGACGGCGTTGCTTGTCTACTTGCTGATCTGTCAGGATGCTTATCCAGGGCACAGAGGAGACTTCACGTGCTTCCCTTGCCGGTGTTCCGCTGGACGACTTCAAAGCTGCAGCTTGGCAGCGCAACTGCAGCAAGAGCAGCTTGTCATTGCTGGTGTCACCAGCATTGAGCCACAGGCATTCAAACCTTTGGGTTGCCGCCTGTCGCGGTTGTCCCTTGCAAATAATTCCATAACGAGCTTGGAAGCAAGAAGCTTTGAGCAACTCCCTTGCTTACAGATATTGGATATCAGCCGGGCAAAACTCCGCATGCTGGCCAAGGACTCTTTCTATGGATTGGAGCAGCTGGAAGTGCTCTCCCTGCATGGGAATGAACTCCGCAACATCTCAGGAGACCATTTATCCCATCTGCCATCCCTTGAGAAGCTTCTGCTTGGAAGCAAGGCAGTCTGGGACAATGAAACAGAGACAAATTACGATTTGGAAGCCGGAAACTTGATCAGGATTTTGCCGCCCCGACTATTCGAAGGAAATCCGCACTTGAATTTGTTTGACATCAGTGGCAACAACATCACCAAAGTTGACCGAGACACTTTCGTTGGAGCGACAAACTTGCGAGTCCTGGACCTCAGTCAGAACAGCCTGCGAGAACTTCCTGAAGGACTGTGCACCTTCTCAGTGCTGAGCATATTAAGACAAACAATTATGCCATTTTGACTTCTTAAAATTGTTTTGGCCAAAAATGTATGTGCACTTCCCGAAGGACTCTTTGTTGATCTCCCGAGGCTCCACACAGTATTTCTGGATCACAACAACATCAGTGCACTTCCCGAAGGACTCTTTGCTGGTCTCTCGGGTCTCCAGAAAGTGTGGCTGAACAACAACCAGCTCAGTGCACTTCCCGAAGGACTCTTTGCTGGTCTCTTGACTCTCCAAAAAGTCTGGCTGCACAACAACCAGCTCAGTGCACTTCCCGAAGGACTCTTTGCTGGTCTCTCGACTCTCCAATGGTTGGGGCTGGACAACAACCAGCTCAGCGCACTTCCCGAAGGACTCTTTGCTGGTCTCTCGAGTCTCCAGAAAGTCTGGCTGCACAACAACCAGCTCAGTGCACTTCCCGAAGGACTCTTTGCTGGTCTCTCGACTCTCCAATTGTTGGCGCTGCACAACAACCAGCTCAGTGCACTTCCCGAAGGACTCTTTGCTGGTCCCTCGAGTCTCCAGAAAGTGTCGCTGAACAACAACCAGCTCAGTGCACTTCCCGAAGGACTCTTTGCTGGTCTCTACAGTCTCCAGGACGTGTGGCTGTACAACAACCAGCTCAGTGCACTTCCCGAAGGACTCTTTGCTGGTCTCTCGACTTTGCAATTGTTGTCGCTGAGCAACAACCAGCTCAGTGCACTTCCCGAAGGACTCTTTGCTGGTCTCTACAGTCTCCAGGACGTGTGGCTGTACAACAACCAGCTCAGTGCACTTCCCGAAGGACTCTTTGCTGGTCTCTCGACTTTGCAATTGTTGTCGCTGAGCAACAACCAGCTCAGTGCACTTCCCGAAGGACTCTTTGCTGGTCTCTCGAGTCTCCAGAAAGTGCTGCTGAACAACAACCAGCTCAGCGCACTTCCCGAAGGACTCTTTGCTGGTCTCTCGAGTCTCCAGAAAGTGTGGCTGTCAAACAACCAGCTCAGCGCACTTCCCGGAGGACTCTTTGCTGGTCTCTACAGTCTCCAGGACGTGTGGCTGCACAACAACCAGCTCAGCGCACTTCCCGAAGGACTCTTTGCTGGTCTCTCGAGTCTCCAGAAAGTGTGGCTGCACAACAACCAGCTCAGTGCACTTCCCGAAGGACTCTTTGCTGGTCTCTACAGTCTCCAGGAAGTGTGGCTGCACAACAACCAGCTCAGTGCACTTCCCGAAGGACTCTTTGCTGGTCTCTACAGTCTCCAGGAAGTGTGGCTGAACAACAACCAGCTCAGTGCACTTCCCGAAGGACTCTTTGCTGGTCTCTCGAGTCTCCAAGTGTTGGGGCTGCACTACAACCAGCTCAGTGCACTTCCCAAAGGACTCTTTGCTGGTCTCTACAGTCTCCAGGAAGTGTGGCTGTACAACAACCAGCTCAGTGCACTTCCCGAAGGATTCTTTGCTGGTCTCTCGAATCTTAAATTGTTGGGGCTGAACAACAACCAGCTCAGTGCACTTCCCGAAGGACTCTTTGCTGGTCCCTCGAGTCTCCAGAAAGTGTCGCTGAACAACAACCAGCTCAGTGCACTTCCCGAAGGACTCTTTGCTGGTCTCTCGACTCTCCAGAAAATGTGGCTGTACAACAACCAGCTCAGCGCACTTCCCGAAGGACTCTTTGCTGGTCTCTCGACTCTCCAAGTGTTGGGGCTGCACAACAACCAGGTCAGTGCACTTCCCGAAGGACTCTTTGCTGGTCTCTCGAGTCTCCAGCAAGTGTCGCTGAACAACAACCAGCTCAGTGCACTTCCCGAAGGACTCTTTGCTGGTCTCTACAGTCTCCAGGAAGTGTGGCTGTACAACAACCAGCTCAGTGCACTTCCCGAAGGACTCTTTGCTGGTCTCTCGAGTCTCCAGAAAGTGTGGCTGCACAACAACAGTCTCAAGGAAGGCAGTGGCTGAAGATATTTTGTTTACTTTGTGCTTTAAAAAAACCTGAGATCGAGTGGGCTGCCATACATGTGGGATATGTTGCCCAACTACCGCGCAATTGTGGTTATATTCCTGTTGGTAAAATTTGCGACGGTTGGTTGGCACTGCATCACCACACGGTTCCTGTCCGGCATCCAGTGCTGGGAACACCGATGCCAGGTTTCGGGTTTCGACAAGGATGACCTTCATCTGGCAACGCTTGCGCCGGGCGTCACCATGCCATGCCTTGGGATTCTCAGCTGCGCAGTTTTGGACTCCTTGTATCTCCTTGCGTTTTTTGGACTTTGAAACTTCGGAGTTTTCTGTCTGTTGGGGCTTTTTTGGGGCCCGGTTGCCGGTGCCAGACCCAGTGCCACGTTCCGAGGAAGCCCGTTGCGACGACACACCTGCACAGGTAAACGGTGGAAGTGTCAGGGATGGGACATGTGAACCGCGACTATGGAATTTGGGAGCAAGCTTGACACTAGCTCTAGAACTGCTTGACCCTTTGAAGCATCCCGTTCACGGCAACATCCTTGGTGTTCTTTCAATATGTTGCTTGGATATCGTCTCGCTATTGAATTCATTGCAATGGCACAGGACCATTAGTACTTGGACAAATACGTAACAGCATCGTAACATGAGTTGAACACAGCTGTTGTAACTCACAAATCTTGTCCGTCTGAGGCTTCAGCTCCAAACCTCTTGGCGAGGTGATCCTGCCAGGGATGCGAGCTGAGAGGCTAGGTACAAACTTGAAAGGCTGCATACCTACCAGTGGACTTTTGAACCAATTATGGTGGGGATTACATAAATAAATCAATAAATATATAATATATATACTATAATAATATATATATATCTTAACTATTCTTAACTTATGATTAAATCTTAACTTGTGGTGATGCTTACTGAAGTGCTATACCCAGCTTTTCACCCCAGCTGCAGCCCGGAGTGGCTTGGCAAGTGCCCATCACGTGGTGCATCTGGAATTGGCCCAGGAGAAAGCGCATCACGTGACGGAGTTCTACGGTTGTTCCGGTCACGCGCTCGGAAGTCCATTGGAAAACGTTTCAGCCAATTGCTGGGCGACCTGTTTGTATTTCGTTACTTTATTTTCACATATTTTCACTTAGAGTTTGCCATTGCTTACGACGATGCTTACGCTTCAGGAATTTCCAAGACTTGACTGAGCCAAAAAGACATCGGTTCTCAGCAGGATGAAATCGTTTTTCCCGGAAAGGTTTGACAGCAACTAAAACGGCAACGGAAACAAAACATTCATAATGCGGTCAGGCTGCGAAGAAAGTGATTTCCGGTAAACCTGATGGGTTTTTCTGCGTCCGCCTGCAATTGCCTGCAGAAAAACTCTCCTGCAGAAGAGTCTCCGCTGGTTTTCCAGCTGATTTCAGGAAATCTCCCGCAACTTGTTTCCAGCAACTTGGATTGTGACTATCTTGGACTTGGATTGTGGTTGTTTACTGTACAAGCATTTCTGCATGTAGCTTCACTTATTCATCCAGATCCCCAAGCAGTTCTTGGCACGATGAAACCACGATGAAGTTCATGCTTGTAGCAGTTCTAACTCTCTTTTCACAGGTTTCACGGCAACGACCATGAGACTCCCTGATTGGAGTGATTTGTGTGGTCATTTGTGATGCAGCGCGCTCGAAAACTCTTGGCCAGGGTGCGGAGTGGAGGGCCTGGTTCTTCATTGAAATCATCCAGATTTTATGGCTTTTGTTTGTTGCCTTTCCTCGATGAGTATTGTCCTCGGACTCATAGATTGCGCTTCCACCGATCCAGTAATCCAGTCAAACCAAAGACCCCATCTTTACATGTTCTTCAGTGACCCCGTTGCAATAGGAGGGCTTCTACGGTCGTGGCTCCTGGTGGCTCCTGGTGGCTCCTGGTGGCTCCTGGTGGCTCCTGGTGGCTCCTGGTGGCTCCTGGTGGCTCCTGGTGGCTCCTGGTGGCTCCTGGTGGCTCCTGCGGCTTCTGTGGCTTCTATGGCTTCTATGGCTCCTAGAGCTCCTCGCTCCTATGGCTCATTTATCATCTATGGATCAATCTATCAGTGAAGCATGTTCACCAGGTGCATGTTGTGCATTAGATACACCTTGGGTATCATCTATCTATCAATCTATCCATCCATCGATCTATCTATCTATCTGTCTATCTATCTGTCTATCTATCTATCGAACTATCTAACTATCTATCTACCTGATTCTATCTATATCTATCTATATCTATCTATAGCTATCTGCATCTATCTATTTCTATCTATATCTATCTATATCCATCTATATCTATCTGTATCTATCTATAGCTGCGTATCTATATCTATCTATATATCCACCCATATCTATCTATATCTATCTATATCTATCTGTATCTATCTATTTCTATCTATATCTATCTATATCTATCTATATCTATCTATATCTATCTATATCTATCTATATCTATCTATATCTATCATCTATATCTATCATCTATATCTATCTATATATCTACCTATATCTATCTATATCTATTTGTATCTATCTATTTCTATCTATATCTATCTATATCTATATCTATCTATATCTATCTATATCTATCTATATCTATCTATATCTACGTATCTATATCTATCTATATATCTATCTATATCTATCTATATCTGTATCTATATCTCGCTATATCTGCATCTATGGCTGTATCTATATATCGATATATTTATATATCTATATATCTATATAATTGTCTATATATCTATATAGCTATATCTCTATGTATATCTTTATATGTCTATATATCCCTATATATCTATATCTACATATTTAAATATACACATATCTATATATCTATATATCTATATATCTGTATATCTATATATCTATATATCTATATATCTATATATCTCTCTCTGTATATATAGATATCTATACATCTATATATATATATCTATATTATCTATATTATCTATATATTTATATATCTATATATCTATATATCTATATATCTATATATCTATATATCTATATATCTATATCTATATATATATAAATCTATATATATCTATATCTATATATATATCTATATATCTATATATCTATTTCAATATCTCTATATATCTCTCTCTGTATATATAGATATCTATACATCTATATATATATATATCTATATTATCTATATATCTATATATCTATATATCTATATATCTATATATCTATATATCTATATATCTATATATCTATATATCTATATATCTATATATCTATATATCTATATATCTATACATCTATACATCTATACATCTATATATCTATATATCTATATATCTATATATCTATATATCTATATATCTATATATCTATATATCTATATATCTATATATCTATATATATATATATCTAATATATCTAAATAATACTACTAATATAACCCTATTTATCTATATATCCCAAAATAAACTGTAAATAATCATGTGCATGCATATGCGTCCACATAAGTATAGTTATTTGTATGTACATGTTGTATCCCTAAATAACCCCTAATCCAACCCTAAACAAACCCTAAACAGACCCTAAACCAGCCCTAAAGAAACCTTAAAACCAACCCTAAATAGACCTTAAACAAATCTAGAATAAACCATAAACCAACCCTAAATAAACCCTAAAACCAAACCCTGCAGATATATTAATTACACTTGTAAATGCATTGATCTACATATGCATATAGTCATGATTAGTCATGCATGTATACCTCTATACATCTACAGTTTGTAGTTTGCACATCATGTATCTCCAAAAATCAATGAACACTTCGGAAAAAACAATGAAAACAATGTAAAAATCAATGAACACTTTGGAACAATGAATGAAAACCAGTAAAAAATGAATGAACACCATACAAAAATTGAAGAAAAACATAGAAAATTCCATTGACAAATGGAAGAAAACCACGGAACAATCGAAGAAGACCATAGAGCAATTGAAGAAAACCATGGAAAAATTGAAGAATACTATGGAAAAATTGACGAATACTATGGAAAAATTGACGAAAACCATGGAAAAATCCATGAACATCTTGGACAATTCCATGAAAATCATGAAAAAATCAATGAAAACCATGGAAAACTCGATAAACACCATGGAAAATTCATGAAACCACTGGAAAAATTGACGAACAGTGCGAATGAGAGATTTTAGCTACAAAATGCAGCAAATGAATGCAAATGAGAGATTTTAGCTGCAAAAACCAAGGAAGGGAACCTGGATGACCAAAAAAAAAAATTGCCAAAAAAATAAAATAAAATTTGCCAACTTAATTTCGCGCCAGTTGCAATATGTGTCACTTCTGCATGGACATCCGGTTACGGTTGTTTTCTTCACACTGCATGGTACCACGTTCACTAGGTCAAAGGACAATAATGAATGTCAGTAGTTGAATTATTTTCAAGCTGCTTGCCCGTGTGACCAAACTAATTTTCAGATCGAACATAAATTTAAATTCCGCATGCCTGCAGAAGGAAGAACACGTCTTGGCAGGAGCATCTTGCACAAACCGGCAAGACACATTCATGGATGTGATTGCAAGGTGGATTCGAGCAATCACTCTTGGAAAAGGTCGGCATTTTTTGACCCCATGGCCCATGGCATAGATTCAAGAACCAAAGAAAAGGAAGCAGGAAAAGAAGCAGGAAAAAGAAGGAAACAAAGGAAGGAAGAACGAAGGAGAGAAAAAGAGAAAAAACATGAAATTATTGAACTTATGCAGGTTGAAATGAATCGAAACCTTTTCTACATGGATACAACTAGGTTATTCAAAGTCTAAACTTGAAGTGAAGGGGTGTTTGGAATCCCTTCAAGGCCGGTATTGTTTATTCTGCATTCTTGATGTGATCAAAGATGTTGCCTTTGCTGTTTAGAAGACAGTGATACGCAGTGAAATCATTGGGGTAAACAAAAAAGGGGGTTAGACCAAACGCAACGTTAA